CCAGCACAAACCAGATCTGGTCCACCAAAGGGCCGTCATTCTTTGCGGTATGTTGGCCATGTGTAAGCCCATTGTGTGGGCCAGATCTAGGCCATACCAATTTTGCTATGTGGGGTGCTGATATGTGAAGATCTTGGTAGTCAACTTTAGAAGGAGGAAGTCTGAGCTGCAGCCTGTCAGCATCAACTGGGAGTGTGTAGAAAGGATTTACAGTTTCAAGTTCCTGGGTGCGCACATTGACACAGACCTCCAATGGAGCTCAAACACCTCCGCAGTTTTGCTAACGCTAAATTCTTGTGAGTTTTTTTTTTCAGTGTAAAAGCTGTGAAAATGCTATTTTGTTTAGAATGTGGTTTTACCAAACTTAGATTTTTTTTTCACAACGATGTAATGAAACACTTTTGTTCTTTATGCACTATTTCTGATGAAATGTAACATTTGTTTTGAAGTCAAATGTATATTTTGGTGGTTTACTATGTAAAACTTTGCAGTAAATTCTATGCAATGATAAACCCAGTAGATTGGATACGGTTTACTGATACAGAGTTATAAGTTAGTTGTAGTTCATCTCATGATTTACAAAAACACCAATTCATCTGTCGATTTCCCGCTCCCTTCTCCTGTCACTCGTGAACAAGACCGTAAGACTTAAACTCCTCCACTTGGGCAGGAACTCGTCCCTAACCCAGAGGGGGCACTCCACCCTTTTTCGGCTGAGGACCATGGCCTGCGAACCATTCCAAGGTGAGCTGGAAGCCATCACCTGATGAGCCAACAGAACCACATAATCTGCAAAAAGCGGTGATGAAATTCTGAAACCACCCAGGTGAAAGCCTTCTGCCACTTGACTACGCCTAGAAACTGTCCATAAAAATTATAAACAGAATCGTCAGCCCTGGCAGAGCCCATCAACCGCAAGGAATGAGTCGACTTACTGCCGGCTATGCAGATCAAGATCTTGAAACGGCTGTATGTGTTAGGTGGCGGCTGCGTGCAAACAGGAATAGGACCCAAGATGCAGACTCCAAAGACAAACTTAAACCAAAACAGCTTTAATGCTGAACTCAAACATAACATAACTGGAAAAAGGTCAAAAATAAACTAACACCGGCGGATTGACAAAACACAGCAAAATAAACGGTAGATCGCGACACGGACACAGAGAAACACAGGGCTTAAATACACAGAAGGAGCAATCAGGGAATGAGTAACAGGAGGGAAGCACAGCTGGGGCAAATCAGAACTGACGAGACAAAAGGAAGCGTAAACTGAACACACTGAGATAAGACAGAGACCTTCAAAGTAAAACAGGAAACACATAACACAGACTCACATGCAGGCACTACAGAGGGAACCAGGATATAGGAACTAAGGATACACAGAGACGCGAACTAGACAAGGGGATACAGGTGATAGGGGAGACAGAGCAACTAAAGAAGACAGAGACATAAACCATAAGACAGAACTCAAAGAAACCAAAGACTAAAAAGTATAAATAATATAATAAACTCAAATACCCTGGGTCAACGACCCAGGCATCCTAACAGTATGACAATAATAATAATAAACTTTATTTATAAAGCCCACTGAAAAACCAAGGTGCTTGACAAAATAAGATAGGGAAAAGGAGTATCAATTATAAAACCATGACAATCATAATACATACAGTACATAGCAAGATTAAATAAAAAAGACTTTAACCGGGATTTAAACAATGACATAGAGTCAGACACCTGGATAGCAACAGGACGATTGTTCCATAAGACTGGGGCAGTTACAGCAAACACACGGTCGCCCCGAGACTTCAGCCGAGAACGAGGCTGCTCCAGAAGAAGTTGGGTAGCAGATCTAAGTGCTCTGACAGGAGTGTGTAACCTAAGAAGCTTATTGAGGTAGCTTGGCGCCAGATTATTGATAATTTTGTACGTGAAGAGTAGTATTTTAAATTGAATGCAGTACTTAACTGGCAGCCAGTGCAAGCCAGCAAGAACAGGAGTGATGTAGGAAAATTTCCTGCTACCCGTCAAAAGACGTGCCGCCACATTCTGGACAGTCTGCAATCTAAGGAGAAGGGAGGAGGAAAGGCCAATGTAAAGAGAGTTGCAGTAGTCCAACCTGGAAGTCACGAATGTGTGAATAAGGGCTTAAATGAGGCGCAGCTGATGAAAACTAGACCTCACTACGGCAGATACTTGCTTGTCAAATCTTTAACCTCACGCATGCATTCACGAAAATAATGAAAAGACATAGCAAGATTGTCAGTAATCTCAAAGTAAATCTGTATGTCATCAGCATACCAATGAAAGGCAATATTATACTTCTCAAAAATATATGTATAAGGATCAAATGGCCCGTAGCAATGGGAATACACCCCTAACACCCCATATTCCTGGAGCACCTCCCACATGTCACTTGGAGGGACACAGTTGAATGCCTTCTCCAAGTCCACAAAACACATGTATTGGCTGGGCAAACTCCCATGCACCCTCAAGTATCCTTGAGATGATAAAGAGCTGGTCCAGTGCTCCCCAAAGAGAACAAAAACTGCATTGTTCCTCCTGATTCCGAAGTCCGACTAACGGACAGACTCTCCTTTCCAGCACCCTGGCACTTTCCTAGGTAGGCTGAGGAGTCTGATCCCCCTATAGTTGAAACACACCCTCCAGTCCCCTTTCTTAATGATGGGAACCATCATCCCGGTCTGCCAATCCAGAGACACTGCCCCTGATCTCCATGTAACATTGTAGAGATGCGTCAACCAGGACAGCCCTACAACATCCAGAGCCTTCAGGAACTCACAGCGGACCTCATCCACCCCAGAGACTCTGCCACAAAGGAGTTGTTTTACTGTCTCAGTGACCTAGCCCCCAGAGATTGGCGGGTTTTACAACGTACTATTGAAAATGTCAAATGTGTCAGGGTCCTGGGTCTCCTGACCCAGCGTTTTAGTTCTTTGTGATTTTTGTATTATTGTACTTGGTGTGAGTTATTCTATGGTTTCTAGTTTCGATCCCTTGCCCTTCTCGTTTCTCTGTGTCCCCTGTGTTCTGTAAGTCTGTGTCTGCATGTTTGAGTTCCCCTCCGTGTCTATCGGTTCTTAGAGTCCTCTGCCTTATGGTTTATGTCTCTGTGTTTCTTAGTTGCTGTCTCCACGGTGTTAAGTTCATGTCTCTGTGTGATCCTTCCTGTTTTACTTTGAAGGTCCGTGACTTATGTGAATGTGTCCTGCTTTGCTTGTCTCGTCAGTTCTAATTTCCCCCAGCTGTGCTCTCCTTCTGTGTCTCATTCTCCTCGTTACTTCCCAGTGTATTTAGACCCTGTGTTTCTCTGAGTCAGTGTTGCGTCGTACCCTCAACAAGCTGTGTGTGTTTTGCCTCCGTGTTACCAGTGTTTTGTTTCCAGCTCTAGCTCCAGTTCAGTATTTCTGCTTCAGTGTTTTAGTCCACCAGCGTTTTTGTTTGTCCTTTGGTGAGTTTAGTTTAGTAAGAGGTTTTCCCAGCAATAAAGCTGCGCTTTAAGTTGAACTTCTGTGTCTGAGTCCTGCATTTTGGATCCACCACTCCTGCTTGCCCGCCTGCCACACAGCCAACCATGACAAAATGTCACAGTAAAGTTGTCCTGTGTTAAAGCCAGCATCACTTCTCCCACAGCAGCAGATGGTGAACCACATGATTTTATAGCAGCCATTTCTGGAATCTGTTCATCCAGACCTGAACAACAGGACACACCGCTGGCTAACTTTAATCTGAAGGTCTTTGTGGATGATTTGGTATCACGCATCCCAGACACTAGTGATCACAGAACATAAGCAAACAAATGGGGTGATACATGATTTTGAAACATTATGGAAACAATAGATTTTAACTGATCATGGAAATCCATCACGCATCACAAAATTGTGACTCCATTGCTGGATGCCTTATTAGGACCATCTGTCACAAGGAGGGATGGTACAACAAATACAGCTTACACAAGAAAAAGGATTCCAGATTTACGCTAAAACATTTGGCAATTTTTCTATGATTTGTGTAACTAACAATCCATGTACAGGTATTACAACACTACAGGTAGAACATCTATGTCTAGATAAGCCTTTTAATCGTGTAAAAAAAGACTCCAGTGATTTCACACCATATGAAGGTAAAAATATTGCTAGGTGATTGTTGACATGTTCTTAAAATGTTCTCTAGTAAAATAAATTACTGATCACAGCCTGTACATGAAGAAATCTACTGGAGCACTCAGTAGAAATGATTATGTTATGATTCCTTTCCCCATACTGGTCCATTACAACCAAATTTAATGTTCATCCACCTGTTGAATCCACTTTAACCTCTTCTATACCCATTTCTTCTTTAGAGGCAAAGTCACCCGCTACAATGGAGGCAACAGAAAATAGAGGTACTTTTTTTAACTTTTGTTTTCCTTTTCTTTTCTTTCTCTGCTCATGTTCTACTTGCCTGATTCAAGCAGGGAATATTGTAATGTAATTTATAATATACATTGATATAGCATATGGTTCAGTTAGCTTTATATAAAAATATATACTTTCTTACATTTCAGAGCTGGTACTTTTACTTGAGTAAGGAAGTTGAATTAGCACTTTTACTGGAGTATTTTCTAACAGTAGCATGTGTACTTCCACTTAAGTACTGAATGTCTGTACTTTTACCACTTCTCTCTGTGACCTCCTTCATAGTCCACCAGAAGCTCTCAGTCTGCTGTGGAAAAATGGGTGATCACCTGAGGCCTTCATTACTGTGTGAACTTTACCCACACACCACTCTTCACTGCTCCCACCTGCTGGACAGTCGCACAGTATAAACCTGCTGATTCATGTAAAGGGAGAGGCAGTAAAACCAGAAAAACAGCTTCAGGAAGAGGCGGAGCAACACCTGAAAGACGAGAAGTTCAAGGTCATTTTCCAGAAGTGAAAGTGTGTGAGAGCAGTAGCAGACCTGCAGTCAAGACCTGTTAGTCTCTAAAAGAAAACTCACTGGAGTCCATCAGGTTTCTCTCAGCAACAGTGTTGAGTACATTTTCTGTTTCTACACAAATCTTCAGTTTACTCTGCTCACTTCATGCTGACTCATCACAGTCGCATTGGTTCCATAGAAATCTGCTCATGTAGCCACAGATCCACTGTAGAAACATTGAGCTGCTGTGTGAAACAGTCTCACTGTGGTCACTTGGTGAGTATCACTTCCTGTTCCTGTCACAGTACTGGGTCTTGGGACCCAGGGCTTGTGTTTTCTGCTTTTTGAATATTCTTTGATTTTGTTTCATTCGTGTCATAGTCTTTGTATTTCTTGTTTCTTAGTTATTTTCTGTAGGTTCTAGGATTTAGGTTTGTTTCTATGCCTTCCCTGTCATATTCCATGTTTCAAGTCTAGTCACCCTTGTCTCTATGTTCATGTATCTCCTGTGTCCAGACTATGTTCCCTTGTCTCCCTAGTCAGTCATGTCTCCTGGTCTCAATGTTAAGTCCGTGTCTTAGTCTGTCTCATGTTTCCTGTTTTACTTTGATAGTCCCTTGTCTAGTGTTTAGTGCGTTCAGTTTTGCTTCCTCCCTGTCCCGTGTATGTAGACCAAAGTTTTTATGACGTATTTATGACTATATTTTGTTTTTTTCTCTCTTGTGAAGCACTTTGTGACATCTGTCTGTGAAAAGTGCTATATAAATAAACTTTTACTTACTTTACTTATGTGATTGCTTTCAGCTGTGTTCCTCTCCTGTGTCTCATTCCCTCGTTATCCCTCTGTGTATTTGAGCCCTGTGTTTTCCTCTGCCATTTGTCACTTTGTCCCAGTAGCTGTGTGTTTTCCTGTGTGCTTCTTGGCTGCCTAGTGTATTCCTAGTTGGTTAATTAAAAACGTATAGATAACTTCTAATTTCATAGTTCAATCTTCACAAGCTTCATACGAAGCATGTTGATTCATCTACTAGTTATATTCACAGTATTCACTCACTGCGGCTTTAGGGATTCGCTAACTTAGCTTAGCTCATAGCAGCAGCTAGCAGCATGACCTCTTCCTTTAGAAATAATGATACTTGTAATACATGTAGCCTATTTGCAGCTCTGGAGGCCAGGATCACTAAAATGGAGACTCGTCTTTGGACCCTTGAAAAACCTGGAGCTAGCTGGGGCCCTGTAGCCAGTGCAGCAGAAGGTAGCATAGACTGCTAGTTGTCCCACGGCAGACTGTCCAGAGCAACCTGAGAAACAGGATAGCTGGGTGACAGTGAGGAGGAAGCATAGTCTTAAATTGAAGCCCCTGGTACACCACCAACCTGTTTGTGTCTAACCATCTTTCCCCAGTCTGTGACACTGCCGACAATCAAACTCTGGTTATTGGTGATTCTGTTCAGAGACATATGGAGCTAGTGACAACAGTAACCATAGTCAATTGCCTGCTATTGACAGAGTCTTACACAAATCTCTGCAGCTTCTCTCCTCCCATTGCCTCCCAAAACCCCATCCCCTTAGTGACTGTGTCAGCTCCCAAACAGACAAAAAACTAACTAAAAAACAGCAAAAAATGACATAAACATAAAAAATAACAACGAAAGAACAATACAGTATCCTCAACAGCATCAAAGAGTAAAACAGTGAAATGTGGATTACTAAATATTAGGTCTCTCTATTCCAAGTCTCTGTTAGTATATAAATTAATAATTGATCAACAAATCACTTTACTCTGCCTTACAGAAACCTGGTTGCAGCAGGATGATTATGTTACGTACATGACAGACCAACGCGACCACGACATGGACACAGCAGACTCTGAAAGAGCGAGAGATGTCTTTCGCCTCCTACGGCTGTGGCAGCGCATTTCCCACACCTCGGATAAACGGACTTTATCTATTGGAATTAATGCCATTGAGGCAATTTTTCTGGATAACCCTCACCTGCGCCAGCTACCCATAGCTTCAGAGTTTGCCCATAATCTGGCCCAAGCAAAAGAGGCACTCCAAGGCACGGAGCTGGCCCAACCACCCTCAACCACGTCCCAGCAAAAGGATGTCTCCACACTGTCGCAGCAGATGAATTCTTCCATGTCACTGCAGCAGGGGGCGTTTGTTCCCTTGCCGCAGAATCTCTTCCCCTCCACATCCCGATCTGACCCGCATTCGCCTGCCTCCTTCCCGGCTGCAATGTGGTCAGAGGATAAAGAGCAGGTCACCAGTACCCCATCATCACCGACCTCCTCTGTTATCTCTGCTCCTTCTTCCAGGAGAAAGCGGCGTCCACGCCACCGGCGCACATCACCACGGCTGGAACCCAGTACTTCCTTTGAGCAACCAGTCGTGGTGAGTAAAAAAGACCATTTTTGTGCTCCATCCGAGCTGGGAAAGAAAAAGTCTATTCATTCTGAGGCCATCTATTCCAGTTCCGTGGACTTTAAAGACTGTTTGCCTTGTGCTCCTTCCAAGCACGGATTAACAATAACTGCTCTGCCTTGTTCTGTTACGGACATTGAGACAAAACTTAAGGACTCTAAGCTCTCAGTTTGTGAATCCAGACTGACCCCCAACAAAATTAAACTGTGTGTTTCCCAGGCCTCTGAAGCTACGTTTTGTGTTCCTCAGCTGACTCATTCTAAGACTTTGAATGATGTTGTTTCTGTTTGTGCAACTCGATCTGTTCATTTGGAGACGGATACACTTTCTGAAAGGACTCTTATTATGGACAATACGCAAACTGTCTTCTCCGTTCCTGAGTCTGGTAAGGATAATTGTTTTGTTGCCGAGTTTACCTTGGATTATGGGAGTTCTGTTTCAGCCCTGGATTGTGTTATGTCCCACCCAGCTAGTAATTCCAGGGCAGACTCTGAGTTTTGTGCGATAACTTCAAATACTCTAGCATCTGTGTGTGCCAAGACTGTTTTTGACAATGCTAAACATTTCCGCTCGGAGACTAAAACTCTTCCCGAGGCCTACCCAGCGGCTGGGCCTGTGACCTCAGCTGCCTCTGGACCACCTGAGGTTTTGCAACCAATGCAGCCTGTTCACCCATCATCTGTCTCCGCTGGGAGCTCAGGAGAGTCATCCCAGCCACCTGTCTCTGCTGGGAACTCAGCTGAGCCATCTCAGCCATATGCAGCAGCCTCTGCTGGGTGCTTAGCTGAGCCATTTCAGTCTCCTGTCTTAGTTGGAACCTCAGACGAGCTTATCGAGCCAGCTACGGACTCCATTTTGCTGTCTGTGCCTGAAAAGTGTCCTAAGCACACTCTGTGCACTGCACAGCCCCAGCCGCTGCATCCTGAGCTGGCTGTGTGCCCTGAGCAGCTCCAGCTAGCTTTGTCACTACCAGAGGTCTCCGCATCATCTGGTTCTGCTCCACCAGAGGTTTCCACACCGGATGGCTCTGCTCCAGTTTCCGCTGGAGGCTCAGGAGAGCCCATCCAGCAGTTCCTTGTGTCAACTGGGGGCTCAGGAGTGTCCATCCAGCCTTGACCTGTCTCCACTGGGGGCTCTTTAGAGTCCGCCCAGCCTTTGCCTGTCTCCGCTGGGGGTTCAGGAGAGTCCGTCCAGGCTTTGTCTTTCCCTGTTGGGGGCTCAGAAGAGTCTGTCCAGGTGACTGCTGCTTCCACACAGCCACCAGCTCAACCACCAGCTCGGCCACCTGCATCCTTCATGCTGGCCCAAACACATCTCCACCATAGGTCATCACGCTGTCTGGTCCAGCTCCATCTCCACCAGAGGTCGTTGGGCCATCTGATCCAGCAATGTCTCCGCCAGAGGTCGCCGCACCGTCTGGTCCTGCCTCATTTGGTCCTCCCTCATTTGGTCCTGCTCAGCCTGAGCAATCTGGATCTGCTTGACCTGGTCCTGTTCAGCCCAAGCCAGAGGTTAGCGAGCCATCTCGACCTGCACGTCCTGCTCAGTCCACATCCTACACATCCACGTCCTGCACGGCCAGTACATCCACATCCTGCATCATCTGCACATTCTGCATGTGCCAAAGCAACCCAGCACCAATCATCTACCAAGGCATGCCATCACCAGCTACCTTCCAGGCCACCAGGGCAGCCTCCTAAACTCATTCATTGCCACTGCTTCCCACGCTGACGGCCTCCAGAACTGTCTCGTTGTCACAATGTGTCCCACGTGGTCTGCTTCCAGAAATGTTTCAGTGCTCCTGACTTCCACACAGTCGGCCCCCTGCACTGCCGCTTTTCATGCGGACAGCCTCCAAAACTGATTCAGTGCTGCCGCTCTCCATGCAGACAGCCTCCAGAACAATTTTGGCGTTGCCACCTTCCACACAGTCGAACCCCTGTACTTCTGGTTCTTTCTTTTGGACTCTGTTTTCTTTTGTTCTGGAGTAAAACTGGTCTTCTTAAAAGAGAGAGAATCCATCCCACTTTGTATGGAACAGCTCTCATTTCCAGAAATCTGGCCAAATTTAATAAACCCCCCAAAACGTGACTATCCAGAGTTGGAACCAGGAAGCAAAGTTGCAGTCTAACACATTTCTCTGCAGCTTCCTCCTCCTGTTATACCCCCAAAACCCCATCCCCTTAGTGAAGGTGTCAGCTCCTAAACAGACAAAAAACTAACTAAAAAAACAGCAAAAAATGACATAAACATAAAAAAGTTACAAAGAAAGAACAATACAGTATCATCATCTCAACCAAAGAGTAAAACAGTGAAATGTGGATTACTAAATATTAGGTCTCTCTCTTCCAAGTCTCTGTTAATAGATGAATCAATAATTGATCAACAAATCGATTTACTCTGCCTTACAGAAACCTGGTTGCAGCAGGATGATTATGTTACGTACATGACAGAATGACGCAACCTTGACATGGACACAGCAGAGTTTAAATTAATTAACACACCAGAGTCATACTACCTATTAGAATCCTTGAAGCACAGGCCAAGGGGGTGGTGAGGCAGCAATTTTCCACACCACCTTTTTACTCAACTAAAGACCAAGACAGAGTTTTTATTCATTTGAAAGCCTGATGCTTAGCCTTGTCCAAGCTAGCTGGACAACTCAAAAACCAGCCATATTTGTGATAATTCTATTGTCCACCTGGGCCTTACACAGACTTTCTGTCTGATTTCTCAGACCTTTTATCTGATTTAGTGCTCAGATCAGATAAAACAATTATTGTGGGTGATTTTAACATCCATGTAGATGCTAAAAATGACAGCCTCAACATGGCATTTAATCTGTTATTAGCAGGGTTGGGTAAGTTATTTTAAAATAGTAACTTAGTTACATTACTAGTTACTGCTATCAAAAGTAACTCAGTTACTTCAAGTTACTCGTTACTTTCAAAGTAACTAGTTACTAGGGAAAGTAACTTTGCTTTTACTCAGAATTCTCTTGGTAATGTGTTGCTTCCATAACTTTGCCAGTCTTCTAGCTTGCTTACTTGCCACAAGTGCACTGTGCCACCTACCAATAGAAAGGAAAAGATAATGTGCATATTTCCACAAGAGAAATCCCACACCTGGACTGTCGTTGACCACCGCCATGATTCTAGCCTACGTCACAGCGTCATGTGCGGTTTTTACATCCAACACGAAAACTGCAGTCGTGGTGCTTTCGATTGTACTCAGAGCTCAGAAATTCTGCCTTCTGAATAGGAAGATGTAGGTAACACCAGACTGCAGATGAGCTGCATACAGACTGGGACAGAAAATTGGCCCGGGCGTTTTGACTGACCGGCCCGCCATTATAGGAAAAATCATAAAGCCTTTGAATGAAAACAAACGCTGTTGTGACAGTGATGTACACTGTCTTGATGGTATATATGCATCAATCTATCAATCGTTTGTTGTAAGATTCTGATAATTACTTTTTAAAAGCTAGACATTTTAAATGAGAATAAGAAATAAAAGTACTTCTTTGTGCCCCCCTTTCCCTGTTAATGCCCATGGCCCCTTGGCAACACTGTGCTAGACCCGCCCCTGCACAGTTACCAGCTGTCAGCTACCTAAAAAAGGATCCTGGGGTTATTTGTCTCTCAGAAACAGTTCATAACTTCCCTTCAACTCATTCATGTCACCTAAAAGGTAAACCTGTTTCTCCATCACAGCTCTGATGATTCAGTAAGGACATCTCCTGGTTTCATCTTCATGTTTCCCTCTCACCACATATCCAAACTGATATCATGACCAGCAGCTTTTACAGCTGTGGCTCCAGCAAACATCAGCTGATACTAGAAATTAATATTAAATAAATTCTAACAACAGCTGATCAAACTTAAACATGCTGCTGTTGTTTAGCGCTACATCCACAGGTTTTTTATTTCTGGCTCGAAGTGGGCAATAAACAAACAAGAGAGAAAAGCCGATCAGCTGATCATTGATCCGTTTCATGATTGAAGTAGAAACTGGAGATGGAGGGGAGAAAATGAGAGAAGAAGAGGCAGCTGTGCAGCAAAAAGACACAGAAAAAAACCAGCTTTGTGTCTTTTTAATGCTAGCTGAAGTCCGGGACAAACTGTGTTCCTTTTCACCTCAATACAAAACAAAAATATTACGAAATGCGTAATATTTTCTCTGAATACGGAACGATTGTTAGGATGCCTGGGTCGTTGACCCAGGGTGTTTGAGTTTATGTTATTATTTATACTTTCTAGTTTTTGGTTTCTTTGAGTTCCGTCTTATGGCTTATGTCTCCCCTATCACCTGCATCCCCTTGTCTAGTTCGCGTCTATGTGTATCCTAAGTTCCTATATCCCCGTGTTCAGTCAGTGTTTGTGTCTGCCCTGTTCCCACGTCTCTGTTCCCTTTGTAGTGCCTGCATATGAGTCTGTGTCTTTGTTCAGTCTGTGTTATGTGTTTCCTGTTTTACTTTGAAAGTCCATGTCTGATGTTAATGTGTCTGGTTTTGCTTCCTCTTGTCTCGTTAGGCCTGATTTGCCCCAGCTGTGTTTCCCTCCTGTTATTCATTCCCTGATTGCTCCCTCTGTGTATTTAAGCCCAGTGTTTCTCTGTGTCTGTGTCGTGATCTACCGTTTTCCTAGCTGTGTGTTCTGTCATTTCTCCAGGTTAAGTTTGTTTTGAGTTTTTTTAGTTTTGTTATATTTTGAGTATTAAATTAAAGCCTTTTTTGAGTTCACGTCTGTCTCCGGAGTCTGCACCTTGGGTCCTATTCCTGCCTGCACACAGCCATACCTAACAACGATTCCGTTTTTTACGGGATGGTTGGCAACTCCAATAACTAACCTTATGAACAAAATAAAGTTTAACATCAGTAACAAATAACGAGCCTATCTAAATCCCAGTAATGATTAACGCGTTCCTGATTTTGGCATAATAACTAGTTACCGTGCTCGTTACCACAATAATAACGTAGTTACTGTAACGTGTTACTTAATAACGCGTTAGTGCCAACACTGGTTATTAGACTCAATTGGCTTCTCTCAAAATGTAAAAGAACCCACCCACCACTTTAATCACACTCGAGATCTCATCTTAACATATGGTATAGAAACTGAACATTTAACAGTGTTTCCTGAAAACCCTCTCCTGTCTAATCATTTCCTAATAACATTTAAATTTACAATAATGGATTCCACAGCAGTGGGGAGTAGATTTCATCACAGTAGATGTCTTTCTGAAAGTGCTGTAACTAAATTTAGGAATATATTACACCCACTGTTTTCATCTTCAATGCCTTGTACCAACACAGAGCAGAGCAGCTACCTGAACACTACTCCAACAGATGTAGATAGATAGATAGATAGATAGATAGATATCTCCTGAATGTTTCATTGTTTCTTTTTCTCTTTATTTGATTTTATTGCTTTACATTGTAAATGTTATCAATTACATGAGTACTCAATTTGTATTTTATGTCAATATTGATCATTCTAAATAATTACTGTTTGTGCATCACTTCCTACTCTTACACTGTTTCTGTAGCTCTTTCAAAATAAAAGCAAAGCAGAGTTTCTTGATGTAAAAGGTTTATTTTTGGACAATTCTGAAATGAGACATTCTGAATAACCTGATTTTAAAAATGTCATATTTTTAGGCTCAGATTTGTTTTTCTGGGACCATTGTTCAAGAACCATCAGAAAGTTGAAAATCTGCCAATAACACCAATTTTTGTAAAGAGTACAACACTGACACTTGTTTCTTTCTTTTTAAAACTGAAATTTAAAGTGAATTTTAAATAAAAATCCTTCTCCGTCAGAGTGCGTCATCAGCGTCCATCCCGCCATCATATGAGGGGACTGTGGTGAGAGCTGTGGCTCAGCTGGAGGAGACACTCAGGAAACTCAGGAAGAAGAAGCTGTCTGAGGCTACAGAGCTGAAGAAGGTCCAGTAGTATGCAGTGGATGTGACTCTGGATCCTGATACAGCATATCCTTATATCATCCTGTTTGATGATGGAAAACAAGTGTATCATAGTGATGTGAAGAAGAAACTTCCAGACAACTCAGAGAGATTTACGCGTTATTTTAATGTTTTAGGAAATCAAAGTTTCT